AATGGTAAATGGACATCAGGCAGCAGATATATCCTCTGAGAAATCTATCCACTTCTGAGCCCCAGCCTACCTCATGTAGTAAATGACAGCAGATACACACGTTGCTACTTTTCCTAGTTACTTTGTGGAAACAATAAATATTACTTTCTATGTTTTTAATGGGATCGTATTAACATCTTCAATTCTCTTCAAAAAAAATACTAGAATACATGCAGATACACATCCTGCTTCTTTTTCTTGTTACTTCGTGGAAATAATACATGTTACGTTCTATGCTTTTAATGGACTCATATAAGCACCAAATCAATTCTTTACAAATATATATATATATATATATATATATATATATATATATATATATATACTCGATAACAATCACATAAACAAAGAAATATATGCTTAATATGTCCAAAAGACTCCTGACAAAAGAATATGATACAAAATTGGTGGTTAAGTCCTTCAACATAGAGAAAAGCTTTTGAGAACTAACAGCAGTAGACCATTTTCTCATGATATACAAGGTGATAACAACACGAGATATGTATCCAAAAATTTATTTCTAACAAGAAAACTTCCGGACATATAGGAAAGCTGGGGGGGAATTTAGAAGAGAAAAAGAAAATCAAACCTTTGTCTTGTTGTTGTAGTAATATTTTTTACCATCACCCATAGTAACCAAAACCCAATCCGTACCGGACAGGTTTGACCTACAGACAATAGAATATGAGAACATTTAGTAGATAGAAAACCATTATTTGGCATGTTCAGAAGCTAAGAAGTGTAGCCCAACCCACAAAGTTTGGGGGAAAATGATATTTGTTAGGACTACTAAAAGCCAACATCTAGGAAGAAACAAAATTAGCCCAACAGTTATGTCAGTGCCAAAATGAAGAACTAGCATAGATGAAGGGGAGAACACCCATAAAACTGCAAGGATGAATAAAAATATATTAAATTGAAATTAATAAACCAGGGATTGCATCCAGCGATGCCAAACAGACTCAAGTAAGTGGTCCTAACAATTAAGGGCAAAGTAATGAATAAACATATGGTTTATATTCATCTTTGCCAAAGCAATGAATAAACATATGGTTTATAACCTCATCGGCAGACAGGATCCAACCACAAAACAAGAATGCCTCCTAAAGAGAAACAAAATATTGGTTCCTATTCCCCAAGTATTTACATATAAGCAATCAAGAATTCGTTTATTGCAAGCAGGTGGAAGCACCAACCAAAGCATTATACATGACATATAAATTATCCATTACAAAAACCTTATCTAATTTTAATGAATGTCGCCAAAACATAAATAAACCATCATAGGCCAGTGCTGACAAGTTTATATATGATACTTACAAGTAATAATGCCGCTCAGAAAATTAGTCATATTTCAAAACAAAAATCTCCAAACTGGCCGCAAATCACATAGTTACAATTATTGTAGAAGTAACTAATAAAATAAGTAAAATGTTTTAGCTTCATATAAAAAGAAAAACAATCGCATTTCCATCATGGTTTATTAAAGCTACTTACATTGAAACAGATGTTGGTTGCACCATGAGATTGTCAGGCTGCAACAAATTCAATTACATCAAAATTATTATACATATATATACACATATTGATGAATGAGATGCACAAAATTGAATATATTGAAAAACCTTAATGCTATAAAAAGGTAATAAGAAGCCATAATACAGTCATGCCATTCCTACAGAAAAGCATCATAAAGTTCGATAATAAGCCACAATGTCAACAATTATTCATTTCAGCCAGTTACTCATCCCATATTCCACAAAAGCTTCAAGCTGAAATAGAATTGATAATGAACCTGGTGAAACCAAATAACAACAAAATTAATGTGTGTGTGTGTGTGTGTGTGTGTACCGATGGTGTGATGCTAAAGCGGAGGGTGGAGGGTGGAAGAGAGGGAGCGAGATTTATAAGTAACGAACAAGAAGACAAAACGAAACTTATGCGCATTTGAAACTATAGAAAGCCTCCGGGAAAATACCTCCCCTTTAAATCCAGAAGGCTTTTCATAAGTAGATTCTCCTGTCAAGGCATTATAGTAGTACATTATTCCTGCCTCAGTCTTGTGGGCAGTCCAATTCTCCGAGTGCTTACTTAAAGAAATACTCTCAGATTGGCCCATACCTTGAGCGTGTTTCTGGGCATCTGTTAAATGATTAAACAATAAATGAAGAACATTAGTTTAGGCACGTGTAAGCACTGAAGTACAAATAGCTTTACCATGATATAAAGATAACAATTTAACAGCATACGGCATACCAAGTTCAGGATGATTGAAGTCTGTCTGGATCAACGAATTTCCAGTAAGATGATTTCCATGAGTAGATGGCACAGCAGTGGCCGATGAAACTTGAACAGGGGTAACACCAGGAGGTTGAGGATCGGGCAATGGAACAGAAGGTAGGGGCATTCCACGGGCAGGAAAAGGAAGAGGGCCATGATAAGAAGCAGGGTACGGCAGAAAGGGAGGTCTGGGCATGCCTCCCAACTGAGGAGGCTGAAACCAGATCGCATGAGGTGGAGAAACAACGGGAGCTAGAGAAGGATAGGAACCACATATTTGTGGACGAACAGAAGTATTTATTGAGTTAGGAGCTGCATGCATATTGGGTCCTGGGATAGTGGAAGAAGCAGATGAATCGCTAGGTGGAAACATAACTGGCATAGACGGTGACATTCCCGGTGGACCAGGAACCATCGGAGTTCCAGGCGCAAGTTGGTGAATATGGAAAGATTGGGCAGGAGGAACTGGTGAAGTGGCCGGAATCAAATTGGGAATTGAAGATCCATTAGCTGCAGAATTAGAAGTAGGCGGAGCAGGTAGTGACATGGATTGGGAGACGGTTGATGCTGAAGACATGGTGAAATGAAACGTAGCTAAGCAGAAACAAGTGGGGAAACCTGCAACCACGAAGAAAGCCGGTAAGCATGTATACTTACTAAGCTACAATTCCACAGGTGAACAAAGTTTCCTTCAGCAAGATAACCAAAAAAAGACCAATTAACAAGCTCATATCGTATGAATTCGCGTCGAACTTCGTCGGAATAGCGAGAACTCGATGAAAATAAACAAATCAACGGGAAGAGAAGACAAAACATGGGAAGTAAAAGGAAACGGAAATATACCCTACCGCACCGGCGATGCAGACGAGAGGGAGGAAATGAAAAAAGAGCGAATCAGGATGAGAAGAGGAGAGGAGGCCGGGGCCGGGGATCACATGTGGATGAGGTGCCGGAAAGTTAACAGGCGGAGGTTAGGGTTCCGATCTCCGATTGGTGTGTGACGCAGCGGGAGTGCTTCGCTTCCGCCTTCCAATCCCAAGTCCAACGTCCGAATTCCAGCGTAGTGCATTTAACTATGGACCGTCCCAACGGGAAGCCCATCTTCGATCCTTCGACCCATTTGTCCCAATTTTATTTTATATATTTGGCTAAATTAATAAAATTATTTTTTATTTTTTAATTATCTCCAAAATATTCTTAAATTTTTATTTAAAAATTTTAACTAAAGTTTCAAAAATACATTTCATTTAAAAAAAAATTAATATATTTTTAATACTGTGTTTCAAAAATATCGTAAACATTTCAAAATACCATTAAGTTTTCAAAAGTTTTATCAATAATTTTACAACTTTTTTAAAAAAACTTCAAAAATACCTTCAAACGTTAAAAATTGTACTAAAACAAAACTTAGGTTAAGAAATTTCTATTAGAGACGTTAGGATTTTAAAATACTTTATAACTTATTCCTTTTAAATTTGTTAGAAGGAGGACGTGAGATTGATAGTTGGTCTAACCGTGTGACTGACATCAATCAATAGATTAAATTTTCAATTTTTCTCGTGTTCTATATAATCAAACAAACTTAAAATATTATGCATAAAGAAAACTTTCGAAAGTAGAATTTCACCCATTCTTAGATTAGATATCTTCTCTCGAAAACAAATTAAAAATATTAATAAAAAAAATAATATGGCGTGACACACTCATGTGATTTAGCATATATCGTGAAAATTATCTTTATAGTCAAGTCAATTTTTATTACGTGACGACTTAGCTTTATAATTCTCAAACGAGTCTTATCACTAATTAGTTTTATTTACACACGTAAGAAATTTATTAATATTAATAATAAATTTAACATCAGGAAATCATTAAAATATATATATATATATATATATATATAAAAGATTAAATTGTACATCCAATAAATTAATTTTTATGAGTCCTGAAAGTAAAAGAATTAAATTACTAAAAACTAAAAATTATTAAAGTAGTTTTTAACCAAATTTACAATATATTAGAAAATATATTTTTTATTTACTAATATTAATATATTTTAGTTAAACATGTAAGTTAAGTATCAAGCACAAGATATTTTACTTTTGTGGGCATTTGGAGAATTCTTTTTTTTTTTTTTCAAAACTATATATAAAATTTGATTTAGATTTTGAAATTAAAAAAAAAAAGTAAATTAAAATAACAAATAAACTAAAGTAGAAATAAAGTTTATAACCTTTAATCATTAAAAAGAATAAAGAAAAACCAACAGAATCACCAAACATGCTTTGAACAATTGCAAAACGAAAAAAACATGGAATTCCTTCTTTGCCAGTAAGAAAGAGATTCATTTTGATTCTGAAGGCAAGAATTTAAACAATAACGTGCAAACATTAAAAATAATAAGATAATATTTATGAATAATTTTTCAAAATCATTCTAAAACATTACGTAAGAGAGACCGCTCGATCATTATACTATCGAGTAGGTAGAACTCTTGGCCCATGAATGGACGTGGAAAGCAAAAAAAAAAACAAGACCAGAAGACAGAGATTTGGTCATTGAGGGCCAGAGGAGTTTTGGAGCATGAGTTCTAAAACAAAGAGAAGAGATTTGACTGGATAGTTGAGACTAAGAGGGCTAAGAGGGCCCCCTCCCTTACCCACATAAGAAACAAGAACCCAAGAATTCAAATCCATCGTAGTATATAATAGAAGTAGTAGCAGCAGGGTCCCAACACCATACTTATCTGCAACCATCGTCCAATTACATTAAACCACAATCACAACAACTTGGAGATCCAGAGCTGTGGAACAGTGTGTTGTTTGTGTGTACCCAGAAGAAGAGGAAGAAGAAGCAGACCAGTGCTTCCCTCAGAGAAGGAAGAACAGGAAGAACAGGAAGAACAAGATGAAGAAGAAATTAACATGGGAAAAGAAGGGGAGAGGGATCTCTCCGCAATTTCCCATCAGACACATCCAACTTCTTCAACTTCTCCTCGCACCATAGCAGCTGTTCTTTAGAGATCCTTGGCATTTTCACAAGCCTTGATATGATTTTAATATCCACCACTCCAAAAAGCAATTGCATGTCTTCGTACGTTTGAGGCCATGTTTTCTGCTTCCACCCTCTACTCTTCTTCCTAACTTCTTTCAGCTTCGCCTTCTTCTGCCAATTACTCAAAACCCTTTCATATTATTCTCTACCCATTCAATCATTGTTCATCAAATTCAATTCTTCAATACAATTCCAGTTATTTGTTTTGACAGAGAATATAGCTAACCAGCTTCAATGCATAATTATGTTCTAGTAAGCATTAAGATAGTTTAGAACACTTGAGCTTCATACCTTGTCAAGGGAAGATCGAATACGAGCAAGCAGAGTGGCGTCCTGGGTCTGGTTCCGAAGTGATAAAGAAGCAGATTTCGAGTTTTTCTTGTCCATCTTAAGGAAGCGGTGGAAAGTAAAGATTGAAGCCTCGATAATGACAAGCAGATCGGACGCGAGGATGAGGGAATCAGATTCTTGTTCCTGGGCCACGTTTGAATCTGAAGCTGAACAAGAAACAAGCATAGAGTTCATCATATATTTGGTATCATGATAAGCAAATCAAAGGCGTCAGTGTATTCACATACCTTGAATGTTAGGAACATGCAACATTTTAGGAAAAGTTCTACGGGTTCTAGCATAAATTGCAGGCCTGAGAGCTTGTTGGAAGGGTTCATTTTCGATAAACCTTTGTAAGAGGACTTGAAATTGCTGAAAGAGCTGAGCAGTAAGATTATAACGAGTAGTAGGGTTCTGTGGTTGGCATGATATTAAGTGGTTGAGTTGAGTGTACTGACAGTGAAGAGCCTCCCAGGACAAGCAAATGTGAGCAACATAGGCTGTTTCTACGTGGTGATTGGAGTCAATCAGAGGCGATGAAGGATCAAGATCCTCCATCTCGTCTTCAGGTTCTTCGATCCTCTTCAGAGAAAGACATCGAAGAGGCGAAGCGCTCTTTTTCGGTGCAGATCTTTGGGAGGCCGATTCAGAACCTAAAATGCAATTCAATGGCGATGTAATGTAAGAGCAAAACCTAATTTCACTGGTTTTCATTGATTGATTAGAAGAACATACCGGATTGGTTGCTCATCCGATCGAAGAAAATCATCCTCTCGCAGTAATCGTCATAAACAGCGCCAAATCCGCCCCACCATTGCCGACCTTCCGCTTCCACGTCTCTCCACTCCGGCTCCCCACAGCTCGTCTCCCCTTCGCCGACTTCCTCTTCTTCTTCCTCCTCCTCCTCCTCCGGAATCAGCACCATAAAACTATTCCTCCTCAGTTCCTTCAATCTCCTCTTCACCTCCTCCATAATGAAATCCTCATCATCCTCATCGCCCTCCGCTTTCACTTCTGCTTCTACTCCAGCTTCTGCTTCAGCAACACACTTGAGATCTACACCATCCTCCTCCTTCAAATCCCTCTCCCGATTCTGCTTCCGCCCTCTCCTCAACATATTCAACACATCCATTCTCAACTTCCGTAACAACACCTTCAACGCCGAATCGAAGAGAAATCAACACGCTCATCCATGATCGATTACAGATTCCTGATTCTTCCGAATACAAAATCCAAAAAGTAAACCAAAAACAAAACAAAAATGAAGCAAAAAACGAATGCAGCGGTGAAGAGCGAGCGCCCTAGTGGCAGTAGAGGTAGGCGTAGAGAGAGAAGAGAGGCATTGAATTGAATTTAATGGATGAAATTGGGAAAAGAAATTTAAAAAAAGTGGGGGAAGCGTAAACCCCTATGGAAACCAGGCCAAACACTGTCAGACATCGTACAGAGAATATTGTCAGTGTGGTAGCAAGAACAATGCCAATGCTCATGCCGCGCAAAAAAGCCTCTTTTGATTTTCTACAATGTGCCCTCAAATTACGCTCCTGCCCTCCACTTAACCAACATTCACACTTTTACTACGCCTCGTGCCTCGGGTTACGCCACCACTTTCCCACTTTACCCTCGTAAATTGGTCCATCAATATGTCCACAAGCCCGGGATTGGGTCTTTTCAGATGTTTCTCGTTCATGTCTCTTTTTTCCATTTATTTTATTTTATTTTATTTTTCTCTTTTTTAATATATATATATATTTTTTTTAAATATTCCTATACCAGGGGCAAATATGTAAAATACATATTAAAATTAAGTTGGAATGAATATTTAAAAATAAATAAATATTTGTTTTGCCAAATAAAATTTTACTTTTATTTAAATTAAAACAAAAAATATTGAATAAATGAACAAAACAGCTGGAACTAACTCATGGTTGGGTTAGGCTGGGTTCAGTATTTTAAGTGTTGTTTGGGTTGAAAAATTTAGAACTCGAACCAACCTAACTCATGAACGTCTTTATCACCACTACATGCATGTTATGTCAATTGTGTTTTAAAAACCGTTCAATTTAAACATTGTTGTATACCTAAATGTTTATAAATTTCTTTGAACATAATAATAATATTAAAATAGCGTGGTTGAAAAAGCAAAAAAATTATATTTCTTATCAACGTTTTGAAATAGATGTTATTGTCTTGTCCTAAGCAAAGGATTATGACTTAAATGCGAAATCGGATTTAAGAACTTTGCTTTCACGACCTCATTAGCTTATGTTGTCATTGAGTAAATAGCATTATGTTAGGGTCAAGATATGCAATCATGGTTCATTGTGGGACCTTTCTTTTCGTGACAGTTCATTGGGCTCTACTTTATTTTTAAAGTAAAGTGGGATATATTGTATTTCTTTATGCATAGTTCACGCACGCACGCATGCATGAACCAACTAGGTGGGCTCGTATACGTACCCACTAGGCTAGGCTTTTGACTAGCGTACTCTAACAACAAAAAATTTAAAAGAAAGAAAAAGATTGTCTCGCGTCGATTAGATTGAGAAAGTAGAGAGTTAGATTCTAATATAAAAGGGACGTTTATTGACTTACTGAGTCACAACAAATGTTTCGTTTCATCCCATTTTGGTGATTCAAAGCCAGTGGGAGAATCCATGTTCTAACGACTCCAACTCGGGCTCTTCGCTGATTCAACTTAGGTTTGATACGTTTAACTTATACGAGTTTTCGCCTCTTATACTTTCGAAGATGCTTAAAGTTATTATGACAACTATTTAGCCAATTTAAACTAGTTGAAGATGTTTATAATAAAATTCTAATTAATAACGGTCGAATGCCTTAGGTGGAATCAGATTTCGATGAGTAGTTCTAAACTACCACAAAGAAAGCCCGGTGATTTAGACATAGTCCAACCAACCAAGATTTTATTCTCGGATGATGCTTATGGGCGCGTAACCTATGGCCCCTGCACCTTGTCGTATTTTATGATTGTAGGATGTGTGTTACGCTATATGACGATTTAGCTATGGCATAAGTTATGTTATGATATTATACTATGATATGTTATGCTATACCAATGTTATATGATGCATGAACCTTCATATGTCACATCACGTATTATGTTAGCACGTTCACTCTATGCTTGTGAGATATTGATAAATCATGTACGTTAACCATGAAAGATATGTTCAATATACATATACATGTCTTATAAGAACGATATGTCATGAAAAGAATAAATGTAAGACTTATATCATAAGTACGTGTCATGATTTGATATTATCAAATCTCATGCATTTTGTATATCTCGTGCAACAAAATACTTATCTGTTATGATTAGTATGGATGCGTACATTACGATATTTATATACGTCATAATATTATGTGAGCTTCTTTTCCCTCCATGGATCCGGCAAACGTGAGTGTGTGTTAGTCGAAGGTCAGGTCCACGAGTACATATACGAGCTCGCTTAGTGGGTTCATGTGTGCGTGTGTGAGCCGTGTATAAAGATGTAATTTTACCAAGACTGGAAAGTAAATTTAAAGTCCTCGATGTTTTTATGAGAAGATAAGTCTCACCATGTATTTTCTGACCATAAAAGTTGAGTTACTTACCGAGCATTTCTTGGACAAAACTAATTCACCAAATTCCGTTAACTAACCAAAATTTGACTCAAAATGTTTGAAATGGGCAAAATAATGGCTTTAGCAACCCCAAATGCTTAAAAAAAAAAAGCATAAAATGATTCTGCAACGTCCAAAATTGTAGGAAGGGGTCCAAAATACTAAAGAGAGTCGTTTAAGTCGAGTCGTGCACGCATAGTCAGAGCAGAGACGATCTAAGGTGGCATATGAGCCGAGCCAGCAACGAGCCACATGTAGGGGTAGCGGTGTAGGTTGGGTCGGTGTCTACTGGCCTATGCTGCTAACGACGTGGTGTCCAAACCTGTAGTTCGGATGGTCAGTGTGTCGAGGTTGAGACTCCGAGTCAAGTTCGATTTTGTAGCCTAAGATCTGGATCCAAAGTTTTATTTTTTAATTGATTCTCGATCTATTTTTTAAGACGGATTCATAATAAAATTTTTAGACTCATGAATTAAATGAACATCTTTATTCGTCTAACTCAATTTAACACATCATTAAATATTTTAAATTATATTTGTAATATAAACTAGACGTAAACTATCAAATATACTGTAGTTCTATCCACCCGTTCTATTAATTTGAAGGTTCAAATCTTTCGTATTCAATAAATTTTATGCACATTTTAATCGTTGATATTATCACCATAACCTATATAGTTTGAACAATACGTAATTCAATCATTGATCTAAGGTATTAAATTTAGCCAATAATATGAACATGATTTGTGATAATTTTAAATCTTTAATCCATATTAATTGTACTAAACAAAAAAAACATAAACATATATTTCAAGCATTTAATGAGTTTAGTATTAATGTTAGAATTTATCAATATATTTATCGTACTCAACATAATCATAATTCAACTATTTAAGATTATTAGATTGAATATTTAAAACAAGTTTTAAAAAATATATTTATTAATTTTAAAAATTTCATTAATTTAATTAAAAAAATAATATTTTTAGACAGTATTAATTGTTAGACGAACACGACTCTCCACAACGGTATGATATTGTTCACTTTGAGCATAAGCTCTCATGGCTTTGCTTTGGGCTTCCCCAAAAGGCCTCATACCAATGGAGTTAGTATTCCTCACTTATAAACCCATGATCAAACCCTAAATTAGTCGATGTGGGACTTCCATCATCCAACATTAATATCCTTAAATTTTATAAAAAAAAAGCTAAAAAAAAATTGTTGTTGTTGTTGTACGGATAGAAATTATATATAGAGGGGCCATTCGATAATATTGGAACGATATAGGGAAGATTAGCATGGCCCCTGTGCAAGGATGACACGCATAAATCGAGAAATGATATCAGAGCTAGACACCGGACGACGTGCCAGCTTTCTTGCTGTTCACCGAAGGGAGGTAGACAGGAGGCAGTGTGTCAGTAAGGATGTTAGGTCCCAAAGGGGGTGGATTTGGGGGTGGTCCCACATCGATAGGAGGAAGGAAAGAGTGCGAGCGAGGACGCTGGGCCCCAAAGAGGGTGGATTGTGATGTCCCACATTTGTTGGGGAGGATAACAAACCACCATTTATAATAAGGGCGTGGAAACCTTTCCCTATCAGACACATTTTAAATGTTGAGGGGAAACCCAGAAGGAAAAACACAAAAAAAATCTAAAAATAAACGATAAAAATCAATTAAATTATTATTTCTCACCAATTAAAGTATTTAAATTATTATATTAAAAGTAAAAAAACAAAAACATTTGATTGCAATACAATTATTGTAAGTTATATTTAAATTATTATTTCTCACAAATAAAATATTTGGTAAAGTATTTTTATTTTATTTTAACGAAATTGTTTGCTGAAAATTTTTATTTGTAAAAAACTGGGAACGAAATAAGCACGATTTCTCTGAACTTCTAATCAAAACTTTCGCAATCTCTTCTCCGTTGCCATCAACATTTATACGTCGATTTCCTGCTACTGCCCGTATCCTCTGTGATTTCTCCATGGAAGCGCTAGCAAGCTCTGTGACCATTCCCAAGTTTCCAGAGGCATACACTCCTTCTTTGTTCTGGAACCCGACCAAGCGAACTGGTTTTCTCAGAATCAACGATTCTACTACTTTTGGTGGCCTTCGTGCTCTTTCTGGCGAAGCTGAAGAGGCTAAACCATCTGATAATAGATTTGGACTCTTTTCCGAAGAAGATGTATCTTTTCCCGAGGTATCGTCTCTTTAATCCTCGATGGATACACTGTTTTGCTATGTACGTTGTATATACTGCTGTAAACGGAGTCCGTAGAAATATGCAATTAGGGTTTTGATGTGACTGGAAATTTGCGACGATAAATGGAACTCTTTCGAGTTGATGTTTTATTGATTGTCCAGCACCTTTAGCTTTAACTGGTGAAGATGCGTTGGTTTTTAACGTGTCTTGAGAAGAGAAAACAAGGTCGAGAGATTTATGAACTATTTGATTGATTGTATGGTTGTTTATTTGATTGTATCGGTTTCTGTTATTATAAATGCTTTCTTACGAACTTTGAGACATTTGAAGGTGGAGTGATGTATGAACATAGTTTTAAACATTGAACTGGAGACTTAAAAGAAGCAGCAGACTACGTTCCTTACAGATTGGCTGATAGTTTTTATAGTTCTTTAATCAATTCTTTGGATACTTTAGAGTATGATTGGATTCTTTTTAAAACAATTTAACTTAATTTGATAGTTAGAAACAGAAGATCTAATACTGTTGATTTAATTTGAATCAAAAGATTAGTTTTCCTTTGTAATGCCATAGAAAGTGATTAGATGTCATATATTAAGAAATGACGGCTTTGAATTAGTTATGATGATAACTCTTGTTTT